GTCCCCATAGTAAGGACTATAGTATGTTGAGTCTATATTGGGGTCCCCTTATTTTGGGAAACTACCATATCTGCTTTCCATTCTACTGAAACCCAATAGGGAAGGAACATCCATAGCTTGTAATAGTATCGCAAGAACTTGCTAGCTTGACCCTTGAACGTAAAGATCTAAATCCTGAGCCGTAAATTCTTGCAAGGCCTGTACTGGCAGAAGCTCTACGAGGGCGGGATTGCCAACGCCCCAGTTTCTCATAGAAAATTACCTCCATGCTTCATATGCAATTTTCTCAATATGGCCCCTTAGCAAAGTCATCCAAGTATGCCCACAAATGCACTTCTTTGGGAAGTTTGCAGATCGGGGATATGTGGGGCAATGTATGAATGGATCTAGGGTCCTAGTCTAGGGTTTGCGGTGAAGGTCGGGTGCCGGGGTTGGGTAGGGTCGAGCATGAGGGTTGCTTCGGCTCTAGATGCAGTCCAATGGCTCATATGTGAGTCTTGTTAATACGCAATGGAGGGGCATCCGTGAACGTTATAGACCCCCAAATTCAGAAGAGTAAAAGTACCCTAAAGGTAGTAAGAATGAACCTTCGCTTCAACCACAAAAAGCACTACCTACATGCTGCGTGCACGATTGACCGTAGTCACAGCACCAGGATCATTAACCACAAGAAGCGTGACAGCAGGATTCGAAGTCTAAACCCTAAACCTCAGTCATGCTCAATTCCCACTTATGCTACTCGGGTACATCTCTGGTCTTTCCCTCTACTAGCAACCTCCTCATAGTACATAGTTTTCACCACTTGGAGGGTTCTGCGTGGTTCCAAGCGGGTAACGGCTAGCATAGCCATGATTACAGCCCTACTTGGATATTTAATCTTACTTGCAAGTACCTATCCTAAAGCCTATATAACCCATTATAGTAGTTTCCATTTCATTCTCCATATTCTTTTCCGCTTGATTCCCCATGATTGGGGGATAATTTCGATGATTGGACCTCCAAGTAGAGCCACTGGAGAATCACATGGAAAAGAGAATGGAAAATGACATGGAAATATTACTATAACGGGGCTATATAGGGTTTGGGACCTAAACCCTACATAGCCCTACTGTAGAAGTCTAGGATAGGTAGTCTATCCACACAAAGAGGCGTTTAAACCGCGCAAAGTTAGCGGGACGGTTGCAACTGTGGCTCAGGGTCCCTAGTGGCCCTAAACCCTAATATGAGCTAGAGTCTACGCTCCTTAAAGGGGGTTAAAGGGAGGATTATATAGGGAACTACTATACCGCTAATTAATTCAGGGGGATACTGGGAGCTGAGACTAGAGCTCATATGGTGTTTCACTTCAAGGCGGCTCTCGGAGGTTTGATCCGGTTGCTTTCATGTCCACAGCTGGGCTTGGGAGATAAAGCGCACCTTGATAATAATGCTTTCCGCCGGAAGACGGTATATTGTTGGGGGACAGCTTGCGCTTTTGGCCCCAGATGATTTCCTCTAGGGCCCTCTAGACCACTGTCTTTTGCGACTGAAATCCCAGACTGTGCAGGACTCCCAGATTTCTGGCGTGGAAGCGGCCAAGGACTGCCTTCCTGAGGGCATCAAAATGGTTGCGTGTACCATAGTCTAAATTCCTCAAAGGGGTGTTATTAGGGGATGAATTATCTAGGGGAGTACTATAGGGGCTATTCAGGGGGATGCGAGGAGTTTAGACGACATGCAGCTGAGGCGTCGGGAGTTCCAACGAAAATTAGATGATGGTGGTTTGTGATCCTGTTTCAAGGTTGGGGTCACTATGACAGGGACTCCTTGCAGGTTTGGCGCAGGGTACAATACTATAGTATAATGAGGTTATGTATTGGGATAATGGAAAATACTGTGGAAACTACTACCTTTAACGAGGTTTACTGAGGGTGCCCTTGCAGGGGGGGGATGCCATCTTTGACAGGACATCCGGCCGATGAAGTACGCAGAGGCCAAGGCCTTGTCCGATAAAGGCAGGATGGGGGAGCGTCGCCTGGACAACTCAATAGCGAAATGTTGGGTTAATTTGTGATATGATTACTATTATTATTTTTATTACTATTATTCTTAATAATTATTACTATTACTGTTACTATTATTACTATTACTATTACTATTATTATTCCTATTATTATGTAGTCTTTCCGGGTCCACGGTGACTACTGAGGGCTTCGGCTTGTGTTTTTTTTTTCTTTTTGGTGGGGGGGGGTGTTAGTCTTGATGCTAGAGGGAACTACACGGAGGTTTCCCAAAATTAGGGGTACCCTTTTGGGGGTTCCCATAATAAGGACTATAGTATTTTGGGGTCTATATTGGGGTCCCCTTATTTTGGGAAACTACCACACTTCTTGGAAAGGAAGCCCTTCAAAGCATTATTTCCAAAGGTGCTCGCAGGTCACTCCTCCAAAGCTCTCATCGCCACTGGCAAATATGAGAGCGCTACAGAGTAGAAGTCAGCACTAAAGACAGCAAAACCTTGTCTATACCGTTGATGGAGGAAGTCTTGCACCACCTGTTATACGTAGCCCATATCACAGTAATTGCGCAATTTGAGGATTCTACGTGCCCAGACCGTGCTGAAAATGTGAACAAACGCTTGTCTGCGATCCCTAGATCCTCGAAAGGGGACAAGCCGCACGCCGACCCGTAAGCCTTCCAAACCTGAAGCCTGAAGCCCTCAACCCAAAGCCCTAAACTTCCTCCCCACCATACATATACATATCTCCTGTATAACTCTAAATCTACATAGCCCCAATTTCTGCTTCAAAGGAGCCATAAACCCTAAAACCTGTACCTCAAGCTCTCAAGAAACCTGAGTAGCGTTAATTTGCGGATGATATGGTACCCAATACATAGTAAGATTCTATCCTCCTTTTGGGGTACAGTATTTCAAACAAAGAAAATAATCTGACAGGTTTCAACCACCAAAAATCCCGCGACTGAGCTGTAGTCAGGCCCCTCGGCCCTCATCGCGCCGCCAGATTTCCAGCCTGCGGCAGAGAGCGACGACGGCCAGGCGCCGTCTCAGGGGCATGTTCGGTCCCTTTCAAGGGAGTATATGGGTTATATATGGATAGTCTATGGAGAATAGAAAGTGATTACATACCTGGCCACCCCCCGCCCCCTCCGCAAAGCCTGTAGAACAATATTTGTTCCGATATTTTTACGTGTTCTTAGTCCATCATTTGCAGCTACTTGAGAACATGGACTCTACTACCTAATTGAAGGCAGATTGACGTAAATACTAAATGGTTACCGATGTTGTTGTACGGCGGTAGTGGAAACTTCAGCTTACATAAGTTGCATAATTACCAAGATTTGTAGAGTTGTGGGGATAGGGTACCTACACTAGACCTCAAAATGATACTGGTCATTTTCAGGCTTTCCATTCGAAGTTTTGGGGTGATAGATTGATGGCATGTAGGGGCTCTGCAGGCATTGTACGCGGCAATCGTTTTTGGTAATTGGGCTTGTAGGGAGAAAGGAAAGTAGTTCAATCTTCCAACCCCCACATCCTGAACTGATTTGGGGTAATTAAACCAGTGTTTGGGGTGGTCGTGGAATTATGATCCCCTAAGCCCTACACCCTAAACCCCCAAACCCAACAAAGCAGAGTCGTGCCTCTGTGCCCCCACCAACACCTGCACCAACCGACACACTACGACAGTCTGTAGAATCGGGTTTAGGGTTTAAGATTTAGGATTTAGGGCTGAGGGTTGCTGAGAAAATTCCATCCGAAAGTAGATCCGAAGGCTAAACCCTGAGGCTCAGGCCTCAGAGGCCTCAGCTCTTACCTGTTTTGATCCTCAGGGAAAAAGCGTTGTAAAGCTTAAGCCCTTAGCCCCCACCAGTGTAGGGTTTAGGATTTTGAGGGTTGAGGGTTTAGGCCACATCTTGCGCCCTGCAGTGCACGGCCTAGCTGTTAAAGAACACCGCAAGCTAGCAGAAGCGGACGATGACATTCAGAGTTCACCCTTAACCTCCATAAGCTTTCCATGATCTCTGCAATTTTGTTCAACCAAAACCTAGACCTTAAGCTCCCAAGGATTTCAGCCATGGCCCCTTTAAGTGCGAGACCCGCAGTCCTCAGCAAGCAGCCTTCAAGCCCGAACCCGACATCTTCCTGTAACAGCCTGGAGGATTTCCTGGTTGTCCCCCATCAGCCCTCATTCATGTATAGGATACTATACCGCCAGCGCACCCTATTGAAATTAGACCCTAGACCTCTCATCCTTCAAAGACCTGGAGGTCAGCAGCTGGGAAGACATAGAAGATGGTCAGGAGTTCTTGGGCTTTCGTGCAGTTCCTTGGCCGACTTGGGGGCTTCAGGCTTGAATTTGGGTCTGAAGGTTTAGGTTGATCTTTTCCATGCGAGATTTATGTTGTAACATAGTGTCTTTCCCGCTTGTACTCTACCAATTGGCGGTGTTGACTTTGATGTTTCTGAATTATGAACTGCTGCGGGACATGCCGTGTAATTTGAGCAACCCTGTACCCTAAACCCCTGAATCCTGCACAAGCCTTAGTAACTTAGTACGAATTTGCGACTGGGTCTTTGCTAGTCTGGTAAAGGTTGGCCTGTAAAGCCCAGAGTCGCTTCAGGGTTTAGGGTGCCTTGGGATGGAGGAAAGCTTGCACCACCCCGTATACCTTATACACTGGGAACTGCTCTATGGGTTGTTCTCAACATTATGGGCCCCTGGTGGTCACAGATTCTATTATGACACCTAACCTTTAGGGCTACCCATATCGGACCCCAATTTGGAGTACCCATGTCTTGAGGATCTTAAGTGGTGTAAGAGCTCCTCCATCCACAGTGGGTTTAGGGTTTAGGGAATAATGGTTTGATCGCTGGTATGGCTGTTCCCTTATTCTTGCTTGCCTGAAAAGCCTCATCACATCTAACCAAGGAACCTGAATTTCAGAAGCAAGTTGTATAAAGGGAGGATGTTTTTTCGTGGTGCAACTTACGTTCGTGAGAACTTTATTAATAGTAGTAACGATGGTAAAAATTGTAATAATATTATCATTCATAATAGCAATAGTATTAATACTAGCAAGAATTTCAGTAAATTTGTGTTTAGAAGTGCCAATTTTGCTAAGTGAAGCCATCGGCTCAATGGCTCAATGAGCCTGAGGTCATCACGCTGCTCAGCGTCAATGCGCCTCGCATGCAAAACAAGTTGATCCATAGGGATCTGAATTCAGGCTCGGGTTAAGTGGTAAGGCCTTGCTGACCCAGGTGTCTTGCCTAGCACGCGCGATTTTTTGAGGCCGCGTGAGCGAAAGTCTAAACTCAAAGGGGTCATATAGGGAATTGTGTAGGGGAGTATTCTACGGGTTCTTAAGGGGCATACTAGGAGTTTAGACTACAGCTCATGTAGGGTTGATTCTGTAGGGGCTTACTTCGTAGGCTCATGCTGAAGGTCTGTGGTCTACACTTTGTCATTTTTACCTACAGCCCTAAGCCCCAACTTGATACTGGGTTGCAGATTAAGTTACCATCATGGGTATACAGAGTACTTCAGAAAGTTTCCCCAACATAGTAATTTCAATTGAGTTCCTTAAGGACCCCAAGAAGATAGAGTTGGAATCGTGAAGTGGCGTCGCCTTTTCGAAGCCTCTGCGCGGGGAGATGCTTGAACAATGGCTGAGTGCAAAGCATGGAAGCAAACCAACGTCATAGATACGGTGGATACTAAAAATCCTGCATGACCCCAAGTACCTTATACCTTGGGAATTATGGGATTATAGTATAACAAGGTCATGCAGGATTTTTAGTATCAACAGTAGGGTTCAGGGTTTAGGGTTCAGTCTTTGGTGCTGTGGACCTCTAGTTCTTGTAAGTGCATATGGTTACATTTACCTTGTGCCACACAGTACAGAACAAGTCATGTCGAAGCCCCGATCCTGAAGTAGAGGCTGTAATTTTGAGGGCTGTTTGACAGCAAAGTCCCAACAGTGCCTTGGCAGGGCATGTGCGGACCAATAGCACACCACACATACACGAGGTGGAGGCGAGCATGTGTATACAGCGTCCACTTCTGTTCATACATGTCTCTTAGTGGCCTAGTGCAACACCATGCAACTGGTACTTGTCTTGCTTGTGACAGCATGCTCGATATGTACCCTTTAGGAGGAATTACCGTTCCTCTACCAAGACTATGAATTTCAATGCCTCTGCATTCGCTACATGATCGCCGATATTCTCCACACACGCATCTCTCTCTGAGATCAAGGCGAACGTGAACACCAGGAAGGAGCTTCCCAAGATTCGAAGCGACGTCATGAAAGAGCTGATGTCGCCGAAGGGACAGGAGCGTGGGGTCAGGTTTAAACTCCCCCAAGAATACTTAAAACAACTTATAATAGGAGGGTTCCAAGTTTACAGAATAATGTGACCAAATGTAACACCAAATGGATACTGACATTGAGACTGGGCTCATGTGTTGGCTTATGGGATTCGGGCTTCCCCAAAGTAGGGGCCCAACTTGTGCGGGAATTCTTGAGTGAGTGGGTTTACAAGAATCCTAGATCTTGTTCCCCATATTTCTTTAAATGCTGTACATGCACAAAGGCTACCTCAGCCTCAGTCATCAGAACTGAACTTGGGGCGATAACGATTTTCGTCGTCATCAAGGAGTATGCCCTATTCTTTGGTCTGCATCCATTACCCTAAGCCCCAAGCCCTCGACCCTTGAAAAAGAGCTATTTGAAGTTGGAGAATCTCAAGATTGGGAGCCTCAAGCAAACCTGGAAATAATGGGACTCTCAAGACGTGTAATACATGCAACAGGGGAAGTTTACCATCTCAAGAAGCTTCCTTTGGCAAGATGATGGCCCTAAGCCCTAAGACTTACATGTTGGTTGGTGAAAGCTGCATCGCACCTCCACCTCCTTGTGGGTACTGTTCTTGTCTTCATGCAACATTATGATTGGTAGTGCTACCATCATCGTTCATTTTAGCATGGTTCTGATGGCAAATCAACTCTCTCCGTAGTGACGCTTTCTTAGCAACCCTAATCCCTAAACCCTAAAACCCTAAACCCTAATCCCTAAACCCTACTCCCTAAACCCTAATCCCTAATCCCTAAACCCTATTTAATCCCTAAACGCCTAAACCCTAAACGCCTAAACCCTAAACTGACTCAATCTGACCATGGCAACTCCGCAGCTGATTCTCCACATTCTTTACGCCATGAAGCTTCAAGTGGGGACTACAGAATACCTAATCTGCGGAATACTCCACGTTACCCCAATAGGATAGAGGTGGCTTGTGATGGTACAGCAGTGTAGCTTGTAGAGGTGTAGAATGCACTACTTGCAGTGGTTTGGAGATGAGCAGAGTATAGCAAAGTGGAGGAGCGGAGTGGAAGGGAGCTAGGTAGGGAAAAGCCCAGAATTAGCCAGGTAATACCTATAATCCCACATATTTTCGACTGCAGTTTCATAATATGCCTCTACTGAAAGGAGGTAGAAGCGTTGTTTTCTTTCCGGTCCCGCTGGAATCTGACCTTTCGAGCATCTTTACGCTAATCTCTGCCCCCTATAATCTGGAAGGCACTATCTGCCAAGTACAATGAAAAGGTTGGCAACTGACAACTTGCCTGTGATTATGCCCCATGATGAAAATAATTTTAAGGCGCTTGGAAAGTATGGCTCAATGCACGGGGGCTCCAGAAGGCCCAATATAGGGTGTAGAGCCTCAATAGTAGTTTCCATTTTCTTTTTCATTATCCTTATATGACCCTATATAACCCTATATTCTCCCAATATTAACCCAAACCCTAAACCCGTAGGGTTTAGAGTTTAGGCGAATACTCCTCAAGTCAGATGAAGTGACTTAGTAGAAAAGTGCTTCATCAAGCAGTATTGCCGGTCATGTGCCTCGCTACAGTAGATCAGAGCCTACCTGTTGTCCATGCACGCACAGCAAACGACACTTGCAGTCTGTAAAGCCCACGCAGGCCCCCCCCCATCCAAACCCAACACGTCCTTCCAACAACATAGGGGGTTCCTACAGTGTCCTTCGTCGAGGGTCCCTATAGTAAGGATATCGTCTAGTCGGGGCAGAAAAGGGGGATCCCAATTTCTGGAAGCTGGCAGGATCTACCTGGCAAACTCGGCGCCTACAGGGCGCACTGCAGTTACCTCCCAACATATCCTTACTATACCTTGCTGGGATTCAGTAGGGAAGAAGGGAATATAGTATCCAGGGGCTATCTAGGGATTCTATTCCCATATTCCCTACAAACCACTAGTGTGTGAGTAACATGGGAAGACCACAGTTGGGTCAAAGAGACTTTTCTACGTTCCTTATCTGTTTGGGGAGGTACACGTTTCTGACGTACTTGGAGTGGGCCGGTTGTGGATGCAACCCTTGCAGTATAACAAAAGACGAAGCCCTACCTGAAGTTCGGGAAGCGACACAGCTTAGAAGCAGAAGGTCTCCAGCAGGGTATGTTGATTTCACGGAGAGTCCATGGCAAGTCCATGGCTTGTGAGAAAAAGAGTACCGGTAGACGTCATGTTGGCGAGGGTGGAGATCTCTATTTCACATTTTTTGCAAGGTCAACCTTACAGTATGAGCATGATGTGCCTCCAAGAAACTGTCAGTGCCATTCATAAGGCCTGCGGAAGCAGGCGGCAGCACGTGCCAGAATATACTTGAGTCCGCTTTGCATTCGGTTGGTTCGCGCGCATGTTGGCTTAGGGGATCTCAATATAGCCCGCGCTGTACTATGACTATGATTATCATACGGATGTCCAATGCGGGGCCCCTAATTCTTGGAAACCTGCATTTAGCACTGGGCAGAGGGGCATGTGCTAATTGTGAATACAGTCTGTGTACTACAGCGAGCACTTCCATTATTCTGTGTTAATAACTGGTAAGACAAAGGCCGGCTGCGTCCCCCGTCACAAAGCTCGACTGCCAGGAATTCAGCAACGCCGTGCCATGTGGCTGGATGCCAAATGCCTGACGCTCAGGGGGGACAGACTCAGAAGCTGAAAATGAGGAAGCTCAAACATGACGTAAAAGGGCCATATAACAACTAGGGCCCTTCAAATTCCGACTGAATGCCTACTACTCGCAAGTTGTTCTTGAGGTGTTTTGTTGCAGTTTCCTGAACCTTTGGTCGACTACTTAGAGGTCCGGGGCACTGTCACATGTAAAGGGGGCAGACTTTGCGGCCCTTGGCACAGTGGGTAGTTTAAGGAACCCAGACCCCCTAAAGGAT